GGCTGGGGGCGCCGGGCGGTCCCCAGCCCCGCCGTGGCTGTTGCTCTGCTTGTGGATTTTTTTCTCTTTCCTTTTTCGCTGTGACCTGCGAATGTCGGAGCAGGCGCTCTGCCAATTTTTTTTTTTTTTTTTTTTTTTGATCTGCTGCCTGCTCAAAATGGAGGCAGGAAGGTATCCATTTTCATCAAGGAGATGACAGTGCTTCAGTCTTCCTGACCATCTGGAGAGAGGCACCTCCAGCGCAGAATCAAAGCGCCGAGGAATATAGAGAAGCCTATAGGCAGAGGGAATAAACCACCCTGTGAAGAATAAATCACGCTTACCAGCCCGGAATGGTTTTGGGGGGGGATTTGTTTCATTTTTTGTGTTTTTTAAATGCTGTCCTGGTTGAAGGAAAGCAAAGCAAGGAAAATAACAGCAGATAGTTTCTAAAAGGCGAGTTGCGGAGAGCTCTGGTGCATTAGTAAACAAATGTAAATAAATGAGAGTTTTGGCACACGAATGGAGTTTATTGCACAGACCAGGATAATAAGTCCTCAGGAAGGAGGAGTTTTTTTTTCCCCCCGATGTGTACACATGCTGCCTTGGTGGTCTTGTGTGGATCCAGGTTTTTAATGGTCCTTTCAAGCTGCTCTGGAAAGAGCTGAACATCCCCAGATATGTTTGTAATTTTCGGTGTTCTCGATAATGCTGTTTTGTCTAAATGTCGGGTCTTCAGGTCGGGAAATAAAGTGTTTGACTTCCTCGCCGTGCTTTCGGTTTTGTTCTTGAGTGGATGAAGTCTGTCCACTTCCCCACGAGAAACCCAGCATTGTTCCACGTCCGTGTTTATTTTCAGCTAGGAAGAACACATTTACATCTGTTTGTTCGCTTTATTTACAGAAATACGTCGCTTGACAAATATCTTGCAAATACCCTTGTTTAAGGCTGGAAAATGTCAGGCTGAGGGTTTCTTTTGAAGCTTAAAATTTATTTTCCAGTCGCACGTATACTGAGGGGGTTTTTTTGTGTTCTGAGAGAAGAATTATGTGGTGTTGCAAACTGATTTATACCCAGCAAGGTAAAAACTCGATATTTCTCTCCTGCTTCCTGCTAAAGGCACACTAAATGAGTCTTTTTTTCCCTTAGGTTTATGCCCCGTCAGCAAGCACTGCCGACTACAATAGGGATTCACCAGGTTATCCATCCTCGAAACCAGCAGCCAGCACTTTTCCTAGCTCCTTCTTCATGCAAGGTAAGGCGCCGCTTTCAGAAGGAAATCTCTTTTTTTGCGTACACTTTTCTGGGGTTGTATTTTTGGGTTGTGATGCAGCCCAGACACGCTGCAGGAGTATCCTCTGGCGCTCTGTGCCATTACCATGAAAATGAAGACCTGTGCGTCTTCCTCTGACCATTGTCCCTCCGAATATCTTGTTTTGATCCTGCAGCGGAGCAGCCTAATGAATAACTTGTCAGCCTCTTATCACCCCAGCTTCTTGAAACATTTTTTTTTTTTTCCCAGCGTGAGCGTGTGCACATATATTATGCATATACTAGATGCACAGAAATGTGCGCAGGTACTTTGTGCATTGTTGCTTTATGTTAATGAGAAAGATTTTTGTCTTATGGGAAGTATACAGTGCTAGGAGTATATCTATTTGCGTGCATTTGGAATTAGAGCATCCTTTTATATGAAGCTGTTTTTCTCCCATTTGAGGATGAGTTAATATTTTTCTTGTATTTGCTGCTGTCACGTTGTATTTCCTGCAGTGATTGCAGTGAAATTTTGTATAACTTGGTAAACAGAATCACTAGAGTTTGGAAAGATCCACACACACTCATAGTTTGCCACATTTAGGGCAAAATAATTAGTTTTTAAACACTTCTACG